CTCCCTCTTTCTCTCTAAAGGAGTAGGGGGTGAGGGGAGAACATTTAGGATGGGGGTAAAGAAAATGTCAGCACAAGGTCAAAATTAAACACAATCATATTTTGAATTCTCTTGTATTTCATCAAACTTTCCCTGTTGTGCGATCAGGGAAGTCTTCAGTGCTGTGTTGTCCTCGTGGAATGGATATTCTTCGAAGTCATCAGTTCCCAGCACTTTGATCTCTCTGTGGGTGATTAGCGGGTGCTCTGGTGTGGTTTGCTCCTTCTTTCCTATCAAACATCTATCGTCCTTATCTCTCCTTCTTTTTTGTTTATGTTACTCTCTTGTAACACATCTGTTCTTCGGCACTTATATGACCTTATTGTGTTGCAAGTGCTGTAAAACTCTTACTAAACCTAAAAACTAAGATGTCTCTGTTTAAGATTTATGAGGGATTTTAAAATAGATGACATTATGTGGGAGGTGAAAAAAAAAGTTTTTCATCCGTTTTGCAACCAAGAGCTATGAGAAAAAAATCTCTACACAGCTTATTAAATAAATTACAAGCATTTCCTAGGTCACTTGTAAAAATTAGAAGGTAATGTTAATGTTGGTCTGTTGTTTTCAGGCGTTGTGGCGTGGCTACAAAGTACGGCGGAACAGCCGTAGCCGCAGACTCATCCAGGCACGGAAGAGAATCTCAGAGTTGAGTCAAGAAGCCACTGAAGAGAAGACGCTGGGGTCGCGTATGTCGTCTGCCTTGGACTACCTGCTGCGTGACAAAGACGTGGCTTACATCCTTGAAGCCATGATGCACCTAGGTGAGGCGTCCTCCACATAGTTTACCGTTCTCCAGATTTTTTCCAAAATTCCAAGTTTCTTTTCATGTTAACTGAAATTTGATGAAAGATTTTTTTTTTTTTTTTTGTTATTGTTGTTTTTTGTTAGAGGTTACCACTTTGCTTCCAAAGTTCAAATTCCATTGCTTGTTTGTTCCCTTTTTACAGAATAGTGCAGGAAGCAAAGTGCTGTGTTGGAAAAGCAGTCACTTGCTTTGTTGGGCATACTTTTGGTGAATGATATATGAAAGCATTGTCAAAATTGTTGAAGAAAACTACCCATTGTCGAGAAGAAAAGTGGTTGTCTGAGAAAGGTGAAAGGCTTGGACAGTCAGTTTCATTATAATACTGTATTATATTATAGCAAAACCTTAGGAAGGAGAAGTAGGAAGTGGCCTTTTGCCCAAGTGGATGTCATGGACAGGTGGCAGTTAGAGCAGGTTTGACTGTCTGTACATCATGCTGACTCACCTCACATTACAATTCAAAAGTAAATTGTGGTCAGGAGCTTATAGAAGTTTTCAGTGTGGATTGCATGTGGTTAGAGAGTGGCACTTTTTGGTTTTTACCTCTTAACTATCCTACTCTCGTTTCCATCATGTCTGTCTTGCTCTTTTCTGGGGCTTTTTAGTCTTTTTCCTCTGTACTACCCCACTAGACTTTAAGGGTCATCAAAGATAAGTTTCTTCTTCCTGTAGGCTGTGAATATATTCGTGCCTGCTACATGGATTTTCCTACTTGAGCTTAATGTTCTTTGCCTTTCAAGTAATCAAACAGTTTTCTCACGCATTTAATGCTGGGCTGAATTTCTTCAGTTTTAGTTTAGAATTTTGCCTGGACTGCTAGCCTTTACTGCCCGGCCTCTATTTTGAGACTTTTGACGCCAGATCGCCACTTAAGAGGTGTTTTTGGTTCCACGGTTTAGCGTTTTGGGTATTAATTTTGTCAACCCCAAGACCCACATCTGGTCCGGTGCTACAGTTACTTCCTATTTATTTCACCCATTTTTTTTTTTTAATTCTCGGACCAATTACTTTAAGGTATCGGATGGGGGGGGGTACATTCAACCTCATACCCCTGTACTAGTAGGAACATAGGAACAAATGTTTTATTTCTCCTTCAGTGAATAAAAGATTAAGAGATTATGAAATTCAGTGATCTTTGTAAGTTACTGTGACATCTTTTCCCATTAAGGAACAAATTGGTTTCATTAAAAAATGTATAGCAATGTACAAAAGTTTAATAAATGCACAGAAAATTGAGGTAGCCAACCCGGTACCGGTACTGATGCTGAGGGTAATTTGCCATTTACACCAAAAAAAAGAAGTTTCATTGAGATATCTAGATTCTAGATATAATATTTCATATGATCGTCTGTCGTGGCAAGCTGGAAAATAATAATCGGGGGGTGCAAAACAACTGAAAGGGCGGCGCTTCTTCGATACCTTAGAGTACAAATAGTGGGAGCGTTCGTACAAACAAATCCATCAATCTTTGAATGAATTATAGCCTTCTAGATTACACCCTTCGCTGCCTCAAACTGAGCGTAAAATTGTGGAATCCCTGGTGTACTGAAAGGGTTAAAAGAAATGCCTTACTTCTTGACTGACAAGTAGGCCTACCCTTGTACCCAGGTGCTTTGACTTGAGAGACAAGCACATTACTGTAGACTAACAGGCCTCCATAAGTTTGTCTCACTGTGTGTTCCCCCAGAGGTGTCCACCCGCCTGTCCCCCGTGTGCTGTGAGCGCATGATAGAAGTGGACGCCGTGCCGGCCCTCTACCGACTGGCCGCAAGTTGTAACCGCAGCATCCCGCACATGGAGATCATCAAACACACCGTGGATACGCTGCTCAATCTGGCCAAGGTTTGTCTCTTCCTCTATCCTATGGTCTAATTCTGTTACCCGACAAAAGGATTTCACAATTCGCTACTTCTCTCTGACCTCATTCAATAATTAATGTCTCTCCCGTCTTGGTCAATGACCTGAAATGGGTGTGTGTTAATGTCTGTCTATGCTTGGCCCGCAGGATCTTACCCTCTTTTATTCCTGTCTACCTGTCTGTCTTACCTTCCCCCCAGCAATAAGTGACTGGGATATTGGTGTTTTCCTGTTATTTCCATTATTATAACTAGACACTCACAAAGCAACTAAAGCAAAAGACACCTGGGGATTCTTTTTCTAGAAAACAATATCCTCAAAATCCAGACATTTATGTCGTTTTCTTCAAGCAAAAAAGAGGGTGAGAGGAACAGTTATTATTCTCAGCAATTGTTGTCTGTTTGACCTCATATTAGTTTGTGTCTATAAAGTGTCAAAACTTAAGTCATATTCTATGAACTGACAATGGATGCCACTATGAAAGACAAGCCCTCAAATGTCTCGTAATACGGATGAAGGGGAATGCCAATATTTTCTATATTTTTGTAATTATTACAATAAAAACTGCTACTACTTCCACTTCCAAACTCTATTTTTGCACTTGAGTGTTTCAGCTTCTCGCAGCTTCTTGGCGTTTGCCTTAATCAGTTTAGTAACTGATGTCCTTGTGCATTGTCTTTTAGGTTGGAATTTTCCCTCCTTGAGTATTTAATTTGTTTTTTATCCGTAGTATGACAAAACTGTTGCCGTGGTGATGGAACCAGAGGAGAGTATCTCAACAATCATGGAGCTGATGCTGATCTATCGAGAGAAGGGTCCCATCTTCTACAAGTGCTGCATGCTTCTTGGCATTCTGGGACTGGACCCTCGAAGACGACAGGTGACTTATTTTTCTTAGAAGTATTTTAAAAAAACTATTCTTTAGTGGAGATGCACATACTAGTGGATGTGCCTTTGCTGTGGTCTGTTTCCTTTTTTCACTTGGTAACTGCTGAAGCGGTTATCAAAATGACTCCTAATAAATTAAAACAGGACAACATCCTGTGAAACTCATTTGTGATTGACATTTATATAGGAATATGTGAGGCAGCATGGTGAAATCAGGCGCTCGTCAAAATAATGAAAGTGAAGAAACTTGCATTTTTCTGCAGGTTTGGGAATTTTTATCGAATTTTTTTTTTTTTTTTTGGCTCAACACCTTTCATGCCTGTTAAAGAACACATTCCTGTGTGGATTTTAATGAAAATTGTAGATTAAAGACATAAAAGATGTAAATTTTTAGTTTCCACAGACTCTCAGGCTAAAGAAATTTTGAGAGCCATTTTCTCGCTCATTTTACCTCTCATACCAAGCAATTCCTCCTTCAATCGCCAATATCTTGACTTGTATCCAAGATAAATAGATATTTTTTCAATCACAAGCAAGGCAAATGGACAGGCTTTAAGATGATACCAATAACTCAATGTGCCCCAAAATTGACGAGCGCCTGATTCCACCACGTCATGACACACATGGTGTAATGGTTAATCTTTTTACCACTGCTCACACAAGACATGAGTTTGATTCCCAAGTGAGGAAGTTATTTCATGAGAGTCACAGTCTGTCTGTTTGGATGCTGTATCTCAGTTTGCTTGAGGGGCCTTGATGGGCAGGACGGGTGCAGTCAGTCTTCAAAATTATCTTAACAGTGTCTTTGGGGGCATAGAATTTGTACAGCTGTAAATTTCTTTTGTAGGACTTCTTCAATGTCCAGTATGTTCCAAAGATGGTTTGTTTTTTGGTTGAGTTTTTTGGTGGTATGACGAGTTGACCATTTTCATCTTTAATATGTGTGTGAGATGCCAGTATAGTATGTGACCATTATGATGCTGGATTACTAAAAATGGATCTGTTCAGTACATGTAACCTGAATCAAAGAGCTTAGTAGGCCTTCAGTGCTCCCGGAGGATATGTTCTAAGGGCATACGAAATATAACCGGGCTCAATTACCTTACATTTACATGAATAGAAATGCTGCAATATTCTCTCTTTCCCTTACCCTCTCCTCTCTCTCTCCCTTCCCCCTCTCTCTCTCTGTCTCTCCCCTCCCTCTGTTTCTCTCTTTCTCTCTGTCTCCCCCCTCCATCCCCACCCACTCCTTCCACAGGCCTTGTGCTTCTATTCTTGTCTACTTAACACTTTGCCATCACAAGGCTCATATAGTAAAAACCCTTGCCATCAAAGGCAACGGCATTTTGGGGAAAATCCAAAGAAACCGGGTGGTAAACATTGCCGATCGGCGAGATGTGATGACAAAGTGTCAAGGACTTTTGTTTTCTCTCTCTCCTCAACACACTTCTCAGAGTTGGATTTTGTTGGAGTTTTTTTTTTTTTAAGGGTTTACATCTAAAAAGTAACTTAAAACATCTTATATATATATATACCAAACTTTCACATTGTAGAAAGTTTTCTGCCCCACAAAGGGGTCAGTTTAATTAATTACAGTTTTATCCTTTCCTGTTCTTTCTCCTCCCCCCCACGCAGGTAATCCTAAATCAGGCTCACCTCATCGAGCGTCTACAGAGCATTCACTCACTGACGTTGCGAAAACTGAAGGTGAGCCGTACTCACAAGGCAACCCAAGCCAAGATGGCCGCCATGAAGTCTTTCAACTGCACCATGCCAGTAGCCACGCCCACCAAGCGGCGACGAATCCGTCCCCAGTGGGTCCTGGCTAAGGACACGATGCACGAATTTGATGACCCCCTGACCTCGATCAGCTTTGTGATGGACGTTCTGCATATCGGCCCCAAGCTGTGAATATGGGAGGTCTATAATGGACATTGATGGATATTGTGTTATAATATCCCGGGCCATGAAAAAAGGGGTTCATAACTTGATGTGAATACACGCAAGATACTTTGGGTGCCTGGTTGGCAGGTGCTATTGGTGTGGTTCGCTCCTTCTTTCCTATCCAACATCTATCATCTTTATCTCTCCTCCTTCTTTTTTGTGTTTGTTGCTCTCTTGTAACACATCTAATCTTTGGCACTTATGTGACCTTATTGTGTTGTAAGTGCGGAAAAACTCTTACTAAAACTTTTTTTTAAAAGATACTTTTGGGGTCTGTCAGCCCTTGATCCAAGATTGGAGAGAGGTTGGGGGTTGTTCAAGATGATGTTCATTTTTTAAAATGTTTTTTAAGCTGTTGAGTTTTGGTTTTAACATGCTTTTTTGTGGCATTAACTGATTTCTATGTCATTGACTGTATAGTAGTACAGCCTGCGCCTCTTTCTTATGTGGGGTTTTTTTTTTAAGGGGTGGGGGGGGATGAAACAGACTGAGGGACATTCAGTTTTTACTGACTACTTGTTTTGTTGATAGTATCAAACATTGTGAGAGGTCCAGCATGCGATAGGTGGACACTCCTTTGTAGTCTGCTCTCTCCGTTTCTCTTCAGGGTTTCCATTACCTTAATCTGCTTATTGGTGAAATGTGGCCATTTTTATACCGAACATGTAAATTACTACTATTTACCGACACATCACGACCTTGGTGCTTTCTTGTCGTATCTCCACTTTTAATAACATTAAAGTGAAAACAGTCCACAGCAAAGAGAGAGCTTAAGAAGATGTCACATTTTCGCTGTTTAAAAAATATGGAGATACGACAAGAAAGTATCGAGGTCACGCCATATGGAAACTGAAGATGTTTCATTCGTTTTATAACTGAAATTGAAACTTTTAACACTTTGACCATATGACTGGGTATCTGTTAATAGTGTTAGGTTTACATGTGCAATTGGCAGTAGACATCTGGACAGATGGTTAGAGAGATTGAAATGCCAATCTTGAAAGTGTGGTGCTTTTACATTTATGTACATGTAGTTCTCAATGTGCAGTTTTAGTTGTATGAGGCTTTGATAAGTTTTGCATGAGTGTTAACACCACTAATTTACTACTGCCTTTGGATTGGCCATTTTCTTCTCATTTTACGACTCCTGTTATGAGTGACGGTTTTCGATGTATGATTTTTCCGATATGAGAAACATGACCAATGGCACAGCATGCCTCAGACTGCTTTGATGCTTATCTGTTCTCTGTGAATGTCTTTGGCTTTGGGTTTAAGATTTTCCGATCAGAGAGAGAGAATGAGCTGTGGTAGTCTTATTGTGGATGATTGTCCCTGTTTTCTATGCTATCCAGAGCAGCTGTTATTCGGTAACCGCAGTCTTTTTGCAGCATATATATAATGCCATTGTTGGGAGGGTCATTTTTTTTTTTTGCGATATGATCAACACATAATTTCTGTGAATTCTAGTCTCAATTAAGCAGAATAGGACACTGGGTGCATTCGTGGGAAGGGTACTTACTGATACTTCATTTCCTCAAAATTTTTCTTTCTGAGCTAAGGACATTTATTATTTGAAGAGCTTGCCGATAGTATAAAAATAAATGAGTACTCAACATCTACATACCCAAGACTGAATAATCCCTTACTCCAACAGTGAATGACCCATGAAGTGATTTACGATCTATCGTACTATGAAGTCTTAGATTACTAACCGATATTTGAGAATTATTATCATGATATATATATGATATTGTTTTATAGCATAAGTTATAACTAGATATAATAATATAAAACTGCTTTTAAATACGATAAAGAATGTTATTGCTTTAGTACTTCCAACATAGCTTTGGTGTAGGTAATCAGCTTTTCATAACAAACATAGTACTGTATGTGTTTACTTATACTTATACTCACAATAATTTGCTGTAAGCAGGACAATTATATTAAAAGGTGACAGGTTTTGATTTATAGAAAAGAATAGGAAAGGTAAAATTTTTACAATTTGTTGTAGTTTTATTATTTCATATTTTATTTATACTATAGTTGCCGTTCTTGTTGGACCAAAGATGTATACAGAGTCTTATGAACCATTATCTTTAACCTTTGACTTCTTTCATGCTCATTTTTCTTGTACTAGAACCACTGCCAGACCGCAGGGGAATAGTGAACTACGTACAGTCAGGCACAGATAAAACATGAAAGCGGAAAACTCAAAACCACGTGTAGCTCGAACAAATTGACATTCCTTAACTGATAATGATATAATAAATCTCTCATTTTTCATTGACAGTTAACCTGAATTATGGATGCGTTGGACACATTTGTCAGTCCCCGATGTGTTTAAGTCATCCATGCCCTACTATATTATGTCTTTAGTACCTGTAAACTAAACATACCAATAACAATCACAACACTACATCCATCCCCTACCATCTCTTCCCTCCCCCTTCTCCTGATGCTGCCTATTTTCTACATCTCTGCAACTTCACAAGTACACTGCCGCTATATGGGGTGGTTCTGCATTTTCTGGGATGGTTCATTTCTCCTTTTTTATCATAATAATAATAATAGATAGCATTTGTATAGCGCATATCCCCGCTCAACAGCAGGTTCTATGCGCTTTACACTATATTATTACCCCAGCAGACCATAGAACACTCCGAAACATTCTCAGCTTCCTGGGAAGCATACATCATCACTATTGAAAGCATTAATTCTCTAATGTGGTCTACTTCTTGTGTTTCCTGTTTCAGTGTTATTGTTGTTAAGACTGATCTCCCTGATGTCTGTAGTGTGTAAGTGGTTCGCAGATGTTCTGGTGTGGTCTGCTCCTGTCTTCTTCTGTGTTAATTTTGTCTTTTCTTGCTTTGTGGGCAGGTGCTCTTGTGTGGTTTGCTCCATCTTTCCACCAAACATCTTCCATCTATCTGTCCCCTGGGTTTTATGCACCCCGCATAATTTAGCAAAATTTGATCATTTTTTTGCATAATTTCTCATTATTTTCCTTTTTATCATTCTTTGTTAAAATTAACAGAATCGCATAATTTCACATTTTTGGGCTCAGTTTGCATAATTTCACAATTTTTCTTGCATAAAACGACGGGGACAGATCTATCATCCTTGTCTCGCCTCCTTTTCTTTGTGTGCTCTCTCAAGTAACACCTAATCTTCAGCTCTTACTCTTATAGGCCTACTTGACCTAATTGTGTTGCCGGTGCAGTAAAAAAACAAACTTACTCGAACTTGTTTTGCTTTCTTGTGAAAAAAAAAAAAAATAGGACCATTGTGGGGTTGGTTACCTCACTATATCTCCAAGAACTGTCTGTGTGCTGTACTGTATCATTTTGTACATAGTCTTTTCACAACTCCTTGATCACGGGTGGCTGAAGGGTGCCACTGGTAGGTCCTACTTCCTTTCTTTTTAAATTTTGATTCTGTCTGTCCGTCTTACTCTTTTGACGGGTGCTCTGGTGTGGTTGGCTTCTTCTTTCCTATCAAACATCTATCGTCCTTATCTCTCCTCCTTCTTTTTTGTGTATGTTACTCTCTTGTAACGCATCCATTCTTCGGCACTTATATGACCTTATTGTGTTGCAAGTGCCGTAAACTCTTACTAGATTTCTAAAACTAAACGTCTTACTTTTTCCCAGCACTAAATGACCATTGTTGTGCCAAGTGCTTCTCTTTCCTCAAACTGACACCTTGATCAAAGTGCAATGTTTCATTGGATGTAGGCTCATTTTATACGGTGGAACCAGGCACTTGTCAATTTTCAGGCATGTGGAGTTCTTTGTATTATCTGAAAACTTATTCATTTTCCTTGCTTTCAAAGAATAAAATACTCATCTATCTTGAATAGAAGTTGAGGTATTTGCGAAAGAAAGAGGTTGGGTCGCCTGGTTTTGGTAACAATAGCGAGAAAATGGCCACCAAAATTTGGTAAATTTGATAGCTAAAGGAAAATGACATATTTTGTGCCTTTAACCAATGCTTTTCAGTAAAATTCACATAAGGAAGTGTGTATTTATTTGGACATAAATTAGGTTAAGCCAAAAAAACAAAAATTCGATAAAAAATTTCCACACTGGCAGATGAATGCCTGTTTCTCAGATTTCGTTATTTTCAAGCCTGCCTGATTTCACCACGCTGCCTCACATATTGCCTATTTTAGACTCCACTGTCTGGTTTTGTGTTTTGCTTGATATGGGTGCTCTTGTGTGGTTCTTTCCTACCAAACATATTAATATCATCCTTTTAAGTAAGTCTCTCCTCAGTGGGTGGTTGGCGGGTGCTCTGGTACGGTTTGTTGTTCCTTCTTTCCTATCAAACATCTGTCGTCTTTATCTCTCCTCCTCCTTTTTTATGTTTGTTACTCTCTTGTAACACCTCTAATCTTCGACATCTATGTAAAACTCTTACTCTTACTCTTACTAAAACTAAAAATCTATCTTTTTTTGTATTTGTTACTCTCTTGTTACACTTATTATTTTTGGCACTTATATACCCTAATTGTGCTGCCAAGTGCCATCTTCCTTTCTTTTCTTCTGCTTTACAAGAGCATCATCACTACATCAACATGTTTCTCACTTTATGGACTCCGAAAAGTTTGCTAGGAAAACTTCTGTTTCAGTTTCAACGTGCCTTTACTTACTACTCTATGCAAAGACTGAATGGAGACACTCAGACTTTCACTTTTACAGTGGAATGCTATCAAGTTACAATTATTGTTAATAAATACAATGCTGTTTCATAACAAAAACCCTGGCTTGCGTTTATTTTGTCTCATGATGGTGAATTCCCCACCATTTTTATTATACATGCATATATTTAATATATATATATTATATTGCCTACGCCTACGCAACATGATCGGTTGAAGGGACGACCTAACAACAACGACAGGTGATTGAATTATGACGGCTCGCCCACATATGGCCTAAATAAGGTAAGGGAGGGGGGTTTAGCTTATTTAGAAGGTCATCCTGTTTTGTGGCTGATTTTGCGCAAGGGTGACAATAAGACGAAATGTATCAGACAAGGAAGACCGAGTGCCATGTTAAAACAAACGCTGACATGGGTCGCCACCACTAGGAGAACGAGCGACGTTTCTGTCACATGTTCATGTTGGCGTCCATTGTTACTTTGTTACAGACTGGGTAAATAGTGACCACTCTTCTCACTTACGCTTTGCGCATGAGTTCTGGGCGGGGCTTATCATACTTATGGTTTATGAAAGATCACAGGCTTACCTCACCAGCTGCTGAAAATTGGTACCTATTGGTCAACAGTGGGAGGGGCCTACGCAACATGATCAGTCGGAGGGATGACCTAACAACATAGACAGGTGATTGAATTATGACGGCTCGCCCACAACGCCACGGGCCAATGCACAATTTATGACAAAACGTAATGGAGTCACTAAGGTGACCGTCTTAGACAGGTGTTATTGCTTAGTGTGATAGGGGTTGTGTGTTAAAATTGGTGGCCGCGTTGGACAGTTGCCCGTTTTACAGTTAAATTATATAGAAAAAACGCAAGGGGGGAAATGGAAAGTGTCCGTTTGTACAGGTGGCCGTCTTATAGAGGTGGCCGTCAGGGCAGGTTCGACTGTATATTATTTATAATATATATATATATATATATATATATATATATATATATATAAAAAACACACTTTCTTATATACCGTGCTTGCCCTTAGGGCTCTCACTCCATTTTAGTTACAAACTACACAATATTGACACTATACTGATGATACATAGTATGCGATGCAGATGCCCAGCACACTATCATCAACACACAGTCTGAGGTGCATTTTTTTTTTTGCTTGACACTTAACAAAAAAGGTGTCACATAGTTCTGAGTCCTCTACTCGGTACAATCTAAAGGCTATCAGTCTGATTTAATGAGATGAAAGCTTGTCAGTAATGTTAGTATTCTAATACACCTCACCATCCCCAATACAAACTTCTATTCATCTAAGGAGTACTGGTGTAACCCGCCCAGCCACAAGGTTTCAGACCTGTGTCATATATTTCTCTATATATATCAGAGTCAGAGTGTGCAGGTGAAAAACACCCAGTCACTTCCACCAATAAGGCATGAAATATGTCACTGCGGAAAAGGTTACGTTTAGTTATATATGAAAGGGACTCTTATGAGTCCCATCCCCATCCCTGTCATTCTTAGAATGTGATATACCAAGTAAAAGGAAGAAGGGAACACTGACTTTGCAGACATTCTTACAGATTTAATGTCTCTACAATCAGTAGCATGTTCAAAGAATATGAATTTCATATACAACAATCCTGATTGAAAACATGTATCACAACACACATCAAAGTTTTAATTAAAAACTTGGGACTTGGAGAGCAGTTTTGTACACCCAACACTTATGCCTTGAGATCTTGGTTGGTCTACACAAAACAATATTTCCTTGAACTTGAAGTTCTGGATCTGTTTTTGCAAGCTAACGGCCTTTCTACACCAGAGATGGGAACTGTTGTCAGCAAATTAAAAGACTTATAAGAAAACAAAAATCTGTACCAAAGTTTTGATTTTATCCATTTCATTTTGCTGGGATCATGATGAAAGTCAGTGAAAGAAAAGAAAAGTTTGTCTTCACATCCTTTTCACTATAAATTAGACAAGACTGATCTCCAAGACTTCGAATGACCTCTCTTGAAGAAAGAAAAAAATCATGAGAAGAAAACTTTACAATTCTTTCTTCACGGTTGCAAAAAGAAAGAGAAAAATGTCAACCTTTGCCATCTGCAATTATACACAGTCCAAAAACACTGGCTGAAACATCTCAACCATTTAAAATTAAAAATCATGGCCATAGAAGTACAGCTTCCTCAACTCTCAAGTTTAGTTTCTAAAATACATCATGCAGTTCACCGGTCAATTGAGTCGGCCTTAAGTGTGGGGGCTACACCCCCAAAGTCCAAATTCGGCCCAAAATTATGGAATTTTAGTTGTAGGCATTTTTAGCTTCTCAGTCTCTCCTACAACTATTTCATCGTATAAGAACCCCCAAAAACCGTATTCTTTCCCATACCGGGCGTGTTTGTCACCGCCATTTCCTCATAAAGTCAGTATTTTATTTTTCTTTATCGCCCGTTTTCTCAAAACGCGACTTTTCTCTATACTTTTTTAAATAACTCCACCATTTTTCATCCAATCTGCATGAAATTTTCACAGAATGAAGAGAATATGTAATACTAAAAATGTATCTGTTGAATTTTTTATTTCTGGAATAGATTTTTGTTGGTGGAGTCTGGAGTGAGGATTTTCACTGATTTTTTGCAAACTTGAATGCGACCTCAGGAAAAAATAAATTAAAAATTTTTCTAATTCGTTTAGGAAAAAAAAACAACGACAAATTTTTAGACCTAATGTTTGTGAACATGCATGCAAAAAAACAATTAATTCCCATGAACGATAAGTGCGGTATTCATTACGTAAGACATGTCAACAAAATCCAATATGGCCGTTGTATCCATGGAAACGAAACTTTTTCTCAAATTTGATAGCGGATTTTAAGACTCCTTAGTATGCTTGTTATATATGAGTGAAATTTGGTAAAATTCGGTCCAGTAATAAGCGAGATAGCTTTCAGGTGTAGCCCCCCCCCCCCCCCTTAAAGTAAGAAATAACATACCGGTACTCTGTTCATAACTAGCACGAGACAAGATATTAAGTCTGTAATTTTCTGCCCCAAAAGGACAGTCTTTACAGGAGGTTGGCTAAATTTCTTGGCAGTCAATACTGAAACGTCATAAAATTTGAAATTAAATGCTCCATTAAAAGCATTAAAAGTAAAAGCTCAAACTTCAAATGAGTTTCATTCACAAACTGTAGCAGCTTAAGCATATATATGGAAATTTCATTTATCGTGGTATTTTCCCTTCACTCTATGCCCCATTGAGGGCAAATGTAGAGTACCTGCCTCTATCCAACCAAACTTTTGTCATAGCCTATTGCGTGTCTAACCTTTTCCTTAGATGAATACAGTGGAACTCGGATTCAACGAAAGGAGTTGGATTCCCAGATTTTTTTAATTCACTAAAATCAATAAAAACAACTGATTCAACGAAAACATAAATGAGCGGGCTCGGATTCAACGAAGTTGCTCGCACGGTGAACATCCCTAGCTGACGTGGCTTCTCTCATTTTTCTAGTGCAACAAACCTTTTATCTATTCTAGGAAATCATCCATGGCACCTGTTCATGGACCATTATTTACTTCGCCTATATTGTCTTATATGCAACCAGTCAGCAGCTTTCTTTCATACAAATACAAGCATTGTCGGCATGCATACATGTCTTATCATGTCAGGGTTGGAAGGGCGGCCAGCACACGTGTGACTGTGCATGCGTGAGCGAGTCTGAGGGGGGAGTCGGGGCGTTGAACGTCAGTGAATAAAGATAGATCTACAAACGCATTACAGTTTAATTTTTTTTCCCCGGCTATTGATCAATATAATATTACAATGAAAACCTAGTCTTAACATAGATCTACGTAATGAAAGCGCGATGGTCTGTGGAATCAAACGTTGTCGTATGCTAGGCTCTACACAACAACATGACTTGTACGGAAAACAATACGTTATAGATAATAGATAACACAGGTGTGCAATTGAAAGAATCTGCCCTTTCGAACAAATTGTGCTTGGTAGAGTTCAGTGTACTTTCCTGGAATTTTTCAAGCATTTCTTCTGCACAGGATCAAAGAAACGAGAATGCCTCTCATTTGAATCCAGACAACTTTTTTATCGAGAAAGTCGAAAGCGTTATTATACATTACTTGCTCAGTGCCTGTAATTATCTACACAAAAACCCAATGTTTGCTATAATGAACACTTGGATTCACGAACTTGAAGGGCAGACCTGACGACTTCGTTGAATCCGAGTTCCACTGTATCATCACTAAAACTAAAACACTGATACCGACAGCTCACAAAAAGTATCTTATAATCATAACATGACTACATATACACATTATTTTGTTCAAGAAGCTCCCAATCCCATTGTAATGATACTAGTGGCTAATTAAAAAACAAAAAACAAAACAGTGCCAGTGCAGAACACAAAGAGCTCCAATCAATAAGTACCATTAGCATTCAACTCAATCACAGCATAAGGAATTGCAATACATAAGAACGCTTTTCACTTTCTTTATAACAGAAAGAACAAGAGCAGAGCACTGACCGTTCTTAACATTAACAATATATTCCTTTCAACCACATTGTGTCTGTTGCACTTCCTGCAACAAACAACCATAATTGCAAAAAGTGTCAAGACAAAATATGTGCAAGTTGTGTAATAATACATAACAGGTCGAGAGAGGTAAGCTGGAGATGTTGACAGACCTGATTTCTTTCCTGTGTGCATGAGCACATGTGCGTGTGTGTGTGTGTGTGTGTGTGTGTGTGTGTGTGTGTGTGTGCAGGAGGTGAAACCCCACTGGTGATTGATCATTATGCTTGAACATCAATGCTGATATTACATTATAATGTGTGTAATATTTACTTCAGCCATTTTGCCTTTCTTTCTTGTTCCTTCTTTATTCTTCCTACTGGGCTATAGGTTTGTTTTCGAATGACTTATTTGCATCTAATTCATCATTGTACTCTTCTTGCCCATCGGTAAACGAATTAAAAAATCGTCCAACCAGTTCATAATATGACCGCAACTGTACCGATGCCCTTCAACCTAATTAATAACTCCAGTAAGAAAACAGTAACCTATAAGCTCTAAGCCATAACTTACATCAGACTGAAGCTGCACAGATCTCTTAAAGTACAACAAAGATTTATTCAGGCCCAGAAATAAAGCAACAATACTGATGCACAAGGTACAAAATTTGTTGGCACTATGATGACAGTTATGAGAGTATTAAAAAAAAAGTCTGCTGACTACCTCAGAGCCCTTCAGACCCAAATTGGTCCAACCCTGAGGCAAGATGACGGACGAACAAAGGAACGCCCTACAGGTCATGAACAGCTGGCAAGGGAAATACAAGAATAAATTCCACCTAGAAACCTAATGGAATTTTTCAACTGGGCAACAGCACACAAACCATGAAATGATACTGTTGTAGGTTAGTGTACAAAGTAAGTGTAAACATTTTTTACAGCTTTCCTCGACCAGATACATTTTTTTCAGCAGTCTATAGCACTTTAAATGGTTTTAAGTAAAGCACATGAGTAAAAAAGGCTTGAAAATTTTCACTACAGCCAAATCACAAACAAAAGCCTAAATAGCACACAGTTAAGAATTCCTATGCCAGCCAGGACAGAGCCCTGTATTGATGAGATGATTGTCTACAATGACGAGATTGAGAGTTCTGTACAACAACACCATTCAGCCATCTTGGCCCTCTCCTCCTTCCTCCGAAGGTTGAGCCAGCTGTTGAGCCTCTGGTAAACTGCAGGTCAGTCCGTCCTTAGGGCAGCAGGCCATCCTCGGAGATGCAGGGTACGGACAGGCCCTGCTCGGACCTTATAGGAAATATGAAAAGGACACATTTTTACATAAACATATAACATATATATGCTTAGCTTACACAAATAAGGGGTCAGAGAAGTAAAATCGCTTTTAAAAAAAAACTAAAATTCATCTGTACTCCATCTTTTTTTCAACAAGGCCAAGAATAAAAAAAGGCATTGTGCATTATCGTTTTAAAAAATTAGTTTATTAATGTTTATTTCATCTATTTCAAGTAGAGTTCACCACTTGAGTCATTTTCAAAGGAGGAATAATGCTAGAGACTTTCTTTTCCTCTATTTCTATTTGAGACAAATGACACCAAAAGAAAAACGTGTACAAAATTAGGCCGTTCGTTTTAAAAAATAAAGAAATACAGGTTGCCTTTAAAAAAAAGGACCAACAGTGGAAACCATATATAACAGGCCCGGTAATAACAGGGATGTTTAAAATCCCCGTTTTTTTTCGACTCTTTGTCTCTATTAAAAGTTATGGGCAATAACAGGGCCTCATCGGAGCCCAACTGGTTATAGCAGGGACAAAGGCTCGTTAACAATGTGTAAAAAGTAAGAGAGAGAGAGAAAGGACGACCGGTCGGCCTAGATCTAAGCCTAAATACGAAATAATCCAGACTGTTGACAAAAAGCAAGCTCCACAGGCAGAGATTTGTCGTCAGTTCGACATTCCACAAGGGTCTATTCACACCATTATCAAGGATAGAGAGAAGATAGTGGCAGCATACTCCAATGGAATGCTCTGGATCGAAAGGAGATGAGACTACCCGATGCTGATGTGGTTTAAGGAGGCAAGGAGAAAGTTGGTGCCAAAACCCCTGTACGTGTGGCTAGGGAAACAAACCCATGAATAAGTACAGCTAGATTAGTCCACAAATGCTCACTTTCCTTGCATTTCTGATTTAACAGGGATCGGATATAACAGGACTTTTTCACTACTCCCACCATCCCTGTTATATCAGGTTTCCACTGTATTTAAAGTTAAAGGGCAATATCTCACATCAAGAAATGCCGTTGCTTGGTTACAAGAAAAGTTTGGGAACACCTTGTAAGCCAAAAGCTTGCAAATGAATGGTCACCACATTCCTCCTACTTGAAGCCCTTCGAATGTTTTCTCAGGAACATTTTGAAAGTCAACGGTTTATAAATAGGCCATGATTTACTCAAACTAAACTATTCTATTCATGTGTGTCTCTTCAACTCAAACAAGCAAACAAATAGACCTCAACTCTTTAAAAACAATCAATGCATGCAAAAGCATGAAATACAGAAAAAAGCAACAAAAAAGAGGATACTTTACAGCTCGGTTAACCTGCATCATCCCGGTGTTGGCCACCGCTCTCCGCATGATCGTGGCTGCTGCCGTTGTTGTGGGGGTGGGGGGAATGTTGGTAGCATTTCTTCTTGTGACCACGACAGTGAGGAGTGCAACCTTCATCATCAGAATCATCCGAGGACGATGAGGAATCAGACTCCCCAAATACTTTTGGCTTTTCATAAATGCAGCAACCTGAAAGTAGAGATTATAAGAGTAAAAAATTTCAAGGACACACTTTAAAAAAAAAATCACCACATGTGTTGATTAAAGCTTAAAGTGAAACATGGCTTTACCCTATGATATTTTGAGTCTTGCATTACACAGAGGAGATAACAGCCCAGACTGTCTTGCAGAGAGGAACCAATGAAACGAAATTATAGAAATACATTCGTCGGGCATTGTCATTTGTTCCAAGCTATCTGGTGATCAGTTACAAAGAACCTTACAATAAAGCTATTATCATTACAAGAACTTTTGAAGATGGGCTTAAAAGTAATGCCTGCTATGCCATAACTTTTTACTCATTGTTGAATAATGAAAACGGCTACAAGTACAAGTACTTTCTAACCATTGGACCACCATCACAGAAAATGTCCATTCTTCAGGACATTCACTCTCAAAATTGCATGTGTCACAAAGCACAGTTGAGTACCTCTGTCAGAGTTAAAATGCCAACCTCCAAAGAGCTTTTTTTAAAACAACTTTAGTGACGTCTTTCATTTACATGCTCATGTCTACCTGATGATAGGTCTGAGGTGGCCTGAGGACTGATGGGCATCAGACTTGTAAAGGGCTTCTAAGAAAAGGAATTAGAAGCCAAAATGACTGATCCTGTGTATTCAGACTAGATGTAAAATGCCAGATAAATTGTCTGTTGGAGTCAAATTGGGGTTTTTTAAAGTAAAAAATACAATAAACAATGAGGCAATAACTGACATAGGCATGAGACTCACATTTAGATTTCTTTTTCCCCATGAACTCGTTGTCCACTGTGTCTGTTGACCATTTCACTTTGTGATCATTTTTAGGTTTTTGCAGCCTCAGATGTAATACAGGAGGGCTCTGGGGAAGAAAAGAGGGACCATGCTTTACTTTCATTAGCCATCAAGACACAAAAACATTTCACAAGATCAAACCATTCCAGTCAAGAGTAAAAAGAATTAAATAGAGGAGTCCCTTTCAACTGAACATGAATAATCCCAATTTTTTCTTTTACTTGCATTAGGCTAGGGCAACCTAAAAAAACCCCGAAAACCCAGAGGTCCCGGTGCTTCTAGTTTACAGACACAACTGTATTATATTATAAGACCTACGACAAAATAAAAAATAACAGCCAATGAGAGTTGCCATGCATTGTGGGAGTTTTCAAGATGGACAAACCTTCAAGCCATGAGTCACATGCATTGTATTAATCCAAGTTGATTTACTACGGTACCAGCTGTTTCACTCCATGTCATATGAACAGGGAAGTTTACTATTTATTTAACATGGGTCTCCTAAAATAGGGGGAAAAAACTACTTCACATACACTGACTGGCATGTCTTAATGGAGAGCTGAACATCATCTGAGAAGTTTGATCAAAAGTATTGATAACCATAAAGCAAGGATATTATGGCTTCGCTCTCCTATTATCTTTCAAATTTTTTCTCGCTTGTTTTGAGGTATCAGGTATCCTTGCCAGAATAATACAACAGAAATTAATTTCCACTCTCACTCCGACGGCAGATTTTTAAATACTCTAAGACTAAAATGAAAGAAAATAATCGATTGTGTCCTCATAAGAAAACTTTGTTCTACAGATGACTAAACTGTTTGAACCATCCAGCAGAAAAACTTGCCCAATCTCACTGATACCTTTAAATTTATGACATGCAAAGGCAAAAGATTTCCGATAAACTTTTAGAAAGGTTTGTCTGTTTGTTTGTTGAGGAAAGAGAAGCACATGATAGGTACAATAACAAGCATTTAAGGCTGAGAAAAAGCAAGAAAGAAAGACTGAAACAGCATTACACTGGAAAGAAGAGAAAGAACAGGACTAACAGTGGCACCCCCAAACAACCTCCATATCAATCAGCAAGGAATGGACTGAAGTTTCTTTACCACAGAAAAAGAAATTTTACTAATTCACTATGGGCATTTAAATAAAGAAGCCATTGACCACTTCAGGCAGAAGTTCCGGAAAAAAACCCACCGCAATCAGAAGCAAGTTAAATTTAAGTTTCAACAGAGGATAAAAATTGAACTGGGAGGTAGTTTTTTTTAGACGAAACGTACACATTTTACAAAACAAATATCCCCTCCCCCCACCCCTAAATCATACCAAACTCACTCCTGACCCCAAGATCAGCTTCCTCTTTCATTACATGCTTGTATAAAAAATAAATCATGAATAAATATAATATACATTCTTTTGATGGGCCTATGATATGGCTTTGGGCTGAAAAAAAATTATTTAAAAAAAAGACTGAGTTACAACTGTAAACAGTATAGGCCCTTATACCTTATGTAAAATTGGTTCTCAAAAGTTATGAGCATTCGCATCAAATACAAAATTAAAATAATATTTCAAAAGGACTTAAAGGAAGGGGGAATTTTTCGGCCTACTTTACACATTCATTTTAATGTTTTTGTTGATATTATAGGCCCCAAGAGCATGCTTTAGTAACACAATGCAAGGAAAGTGAATCTACCCCTGTCGCACAACCTTTGGTTTATGGTCAATTGACTCCGCGAAAAGCTAATTTTAATTCAAATTCAGTCACACAGGCCCTCCACATTATAAGCATGTGACAGCGCATGGTATAGTAGGGTGCCTTTCATGACATCACTGGCTGTGCTTTCTTTCAAGATCATTCTCTTTTCTCTATCAACTCTTTCATTGCTTCTATGAGACTGCTCAGCAGAGGATCTTAGCTGACAATGTTGAAGAAAAAGAACAATGCAGCTCAAATTGCAGTTACTGAAAGACAAAAGAAAAGTAGGCGAAGAAAAAAAGTCAAAAAATTGAATTTGCTGCAAGCATGGTATTCTTAACTCTACACGACACTCTTAACAATCATCGCTAATTGAACAACACTCTCTAAACTGAAAACTCAGCTAAACCAAAGAAAATCTGAGATAATCTGGTTTTGGCCTGAACGATAACAATGGAGTGTGGGTTTTGGCTCTACCAATGATTACTTTCTAGTTCTAAACGATTACTTTTCGACATATGCCAATATGATGTTTGATGCGTGGGAACAGATATCAAACCTTGCAAAACATCAAATTGTGGTTAAATTCAGGGGGGCATCCCCCCCCCCACTCCCTTTTCATATTTTTATTTGATCAGGGAGGGGCAAAATCCCCTCTTGTTAAAAACAAGTGAAATATTACTGCTCATTTTGTACTGAAAAATAGCAACGCATCTCTCGCTCTCTTTCGGATAAAACATCAATACCGAATATTTAAGTCAGTGTCGATATCCAGTATTATAGGGGCCAAAACCGGAGAAAGCCCAACATCTGGCGGTCCTGCAGATTTAAAACAATGTCCACTGTACCTGGTGGAATTGGAATTAAAATACAACGCTACTTAAATGTCTTGAAATGGAGAGAAGAGGGCTGTTGGCACATCCGGCCGCACGCAAAATCCGGCCACCCCATGGGAACACTACTTTCCGTACCTTGTAAGAGGTTCCCTGCATGACTAATCCGAGTCGTGCTGCGAAAATATTTGTTTTCTAAAAAAAATATTTGCTGCTTCCGGTTTCCGGTCCGCTTTTCCAGCAAATACCTCTTGGCGACCCTTTTGTTGCAAGTAAGTTATATCCAGTCCATCCTTTAGCTAAGATTGCCCATCTGATACAAGTTCAAGGTGAGTCCTTAATAGGTCTGGGAACACCCCGAGAACCATTATTTTCCGACTATTGTGCTAAATTTGGAGTATTTTCATGTCAAACGTGTCTCAAGTGGGGTGGCAATTTGAATTGTGAGTTTAGAAAATTACACACTACGGCCGGATTCGCTGAGTGGGGGGGGGCGAAGTTGAGCCGAATCTCCAACAGGCGGCCAGATTTTCCGATTCGAGTACCACTAGATCTAGATCTAGTGGTGGTCGGCTAATGTTCAAAGAGGCCTAGAAAAACTAGATCTCTACATCTTGATCTATGCCGAGTTGCCTTTCCTGAAACAGTGTAGCTTAATCAACCTCTGGTTGTCGGAAGTTCTGATAGCCGCATGGGCAGCGTGTTTGCGCCTGAAGTCATACAATTATTTTTATGAGTATGGGAACGAACCCCGGTCCCGGAAGTTTTTTTGTTTTCTTTTGTTGTTTTTTTCCCCCCTCTTCTTCTCCTCCTCCCTAATGACTAACAATTGTTCCCCACAATTATAATTTAGCGAATAATCATGCACATTCTGGTTTTGTCCCCAAGAGAAGCTTTTACCAACAAAGTATAGTAACAACAGAATAGGCCTACTTTTCCTTTTACCAGTTTAGGCCTGGTTAAAGTTCAATAGTATAGGGATTTTCCTTGGTCTGTAAGTTGAATCATTTTTTACTTTTTTATTTTAACCTAGAGAGGCCAAATTTCAGCTCCACAATTGCAAATTTTCTTCAGCTTCAGTGGCCCTCTTGTGGCCCCCAGACCCCTGCCAATTATTATTAATATGTGCCCTGGTTGGGGGTCCAGGGCCAAGATGATTCCGAATATGAAATCAGTTTTAACATACGGTAATTCTTTTTAAAATTTTGAGTCCTGAGTTTAATTCTGTGCGGCGGCAAATTTCAAAATGAATCTTCGTCACAGCACGTCTCCCTCAAATCTGAACGTAATTGCACGGAAAATATCAAGCCACGCGACAGAGTCTCCCAATCATCGTTCAATCGTCCAAATTTTGTACAATCTTGTGGTTACACTTACACCTAACTTTAGATTCTATCGAATTATCCCTAGATCGTCCAGTTTTTGTACAATGTATCGTTATGTGTGTAACCAGGACTTTATCCAATCTATCGTCCAGTTTTCTTTCGATCGAGGAGATTCCTCGTCTTAAAGCCACCATGTCTCTTTGTGACGACAGCGATTTGCCTGTAGATAAATATCTACTCTACTCTCTATACAGTGGAACTCGGATTCAACGAGATCGTTGGGCCTGACCTAAAATCTCATTGAATCCGAGTGTTCGTTTTATAGCAAACACGAAGTTTTGTGTAGAGAATTACATGCACTGCTGAGCTAATGGATAAAGAGAAGTCACAAGTAGTGCCTGAAATGCCTGCATATTATGAGCTGTGTAAAAAAAAAGACAGATTCGTTCAAATACACAAGCCTGTGTCATCTCGATTGTTTACCAAGAAAAAGTTGAGTTGCTGTGTAGAGCCGACGGCAACTTTTGATTCCATAGACCAACACACAATTCATTACTTAGATCTACGTCAACACTAACTTATTATTGTAATGATCAGTTGCCGGGGGGAAAAAGACTGACGCATATGCGACGTTCAACACCCGAACCGCTAGTGCCACCCCCCCCCCCCCCCCCCGACACACACACACAGCCACATGTGTGCAGGCCGCCCATCCGACCCCGACACACCCTAACGAGCCATCTTTAATTGCTTCTGGTGACCTCTTGACAAATAAACATTTATTAGAAGCGTTATAACTTTGCAGGCCGGCCTCAAATTCATCATGAGATATAAACTCTGCTCCTACACAAAATGCCATTTTGCCCGAAGTGATCCCGGTCTCTACGTACCCAGCCTGAGCTGGAGTCACGAGTCACAGGAAGTCGGAAGTGATGTCATGCTGGACAAGAATCAGAGTCCGAATAACATTTTTTCATATTCGGACTCGAGTCTGAATGGATCTAGATCTAGTCACTTCGTAATACAATCACGCTCCTTGTTTAGTCTGTTCAACCGAAGTCACCCCAAAAATCGATGCATGAAACACACGGTCGCTGCAGTTGAAACCTCGATAGTATTGTAGTCTTTTATCCCACAAGATTATGCTTTCAAAAGAATTGTTGATTCAAATTTTGGCCTCCTTGACCGTGCTACACAGCCAGTTTGCGGTACCTAAACACAGAGACTTAGCTTGAAAAGTACAACTAGAAGAGTGATCTAATTTATAACCTTTCTTCACCTTTACTTTACTTCCAGAAAGAATCCGACAGAAGCTGACTGAAGGCTAAGTTAAATTGGAACCATACTTTCATTTCTCTATTCCTACCTCTTCATAGATCTAGAATCTAGATCCTAAGATCTCTTTATCTAAGAAGCACATACACATGATACACATGTGTGTCAAACGGAGTGTTACCTCTTGTTCTTCACTCTTGTCGACAACAACTGTCTCAGTCGCAGTTCCTGAATCAACCGGTTGGGTTGAAGTTCCCGGTTGAGCCTCAGCCATTTGGTTTCTAAAAACTCAGCTCAAAAAGTAAACAATATAATAAAGAAACTCACAGACCGGTTTAAAGGTATAAAAATCTACTCTGCCTGACTGTCTTACAAGTACATGAAGTTCAGCTCCAAGAGACGGAAATGAGCAACCATGAAGTCATGAGAAGTAACTAAAGAAAACGATCTTGGCTTTGAAAGTTCGGTAAATCCTGTCAATAATAATGCTTAAATTGGGAGTAGTGTCCCTTAGACTCTTTTTATTATTATTATTTTTTGTTTTTTTACTTTACCTGCTTTGTGGCGATGGAGTTTTATGAAACAACCTGTCATTTTCAGGGGGAAAAAAGAAGGAACAACTGAAAATTACATTATTCAATGATTTTTCTGTTTGTTTTTTAACCTAGATAACTAGATATTCTGAAGATGACTAGGCTTAACTAGGCTACCCTAACTTTGAGAGACGTATCGACAGCATATCATGACACAGGCAACACAAAACTGCACGTTGGCCTACCAATACACTGTGGGACTGGCAATATGTATAATACTCGTCTTTAGTTGTCTTTATTTTTATTTTCTTCGTGACCCGATCTTGGGGTGGTTCTGGGTGAACCCAATAAGTTTATAGAAAGCTCCTAATTGTACCAGCACATGGATTCTTCTTCTTCTTCTTCTTCTTCTTCTTCTTCTTCTTCTTCTTCTTCTTCTTCTTCTTCTTCTTCTTCTTCTTCTTCTTCTCCTTCTCCTCCTCCTCCTCCTCCTCCTCCTCCTCCTCCTCCTCCTCCTCCTCCTCCTCCTCCTTCTTCTTCTTCTTCTTCTTCGACAACTCCATCGCCACATTTATAATTGTCTGCTTACATAGAGAGGTAGAGTTTAAAAGACGGAGAGAAGAAGACAGAATGCAGGGAAAACATTCGTATGGCCCTAGGCCTTCTTCAATCGACATCCTTCAAATTTTGAATTAAAAGGACTAAAGGGGGGGGGGGGTCCGTTGCCGGAGGTGGGAATTTTGTCATTCATTATTATTATCTTTTTTTGCGCACGCGAATGCTGTGCACAACACCCCTAATTCCCCAAAGGAGAATGAGAAGAAGAAGAATAACAACAACGACGGGACAAAAAAGAGGCCAAGATGTAGCCCAAAACATACAAATTGGAGAAAAGCAGGGTGTTTGCCGTGCATTGACTTTGAGAGAAAAGGGGAAATAATCACGATGTAGGGAACCTGGGACACACACGAAATAAAGTAGGAATAACTGTAGTAATCTCCCTTATATCTGTGTTGCGCCAGGAATAGCACGGCCTTTGGTCCAGTTCGCTGATGACGTCAGAGCAAAGCGCGACCTTACAACACAGACCGACACATGGGGGAATGTGCAAGCCGCGTTTCTCCAGTGAGTGACAAACAAACGCTCAGCATCATGTGCACCGACCGTGTCAAGTTGTAAAAAACATACCCAGGGGTGCCGAAAAGGTATGTCTTTCACATGAAGGTAAAGATTTATTTGTTTGTTTCCTCGATTTTGAAAGAATTTGACCACACCTACTCGAAGAGGCGTGACCCACTTCTAATCCGTAGTGCATTATAGGCCTAACGTAGAGTATTCAGTAATGAGATTTTTGTCGTGTTACTGCAGTTGGGTGCAAGACTCGCCACAAGACGCCGTTTAGTTCCTGGATCGCGAGCCGTGGAGTGTTTTCCTTCCTTTATCTTGTGAATTGTGAGTTAAATCAGTAGGCACTCGGAATCTAGGTACTTTAATGCTCTGAGACAAAATGTTTATGTAAGTTGTTAGTTACAGTGAAAAGATCATAATAATATGACGTGAAATATTAGCTAAATAGAAATTAGCTACTTGTGCGATGGTCATTAGGCCTTAAGCCCTTATGTATTTATGTAGGGCTGTGTAAGAAGTGTGTAATTTAAAGTTGAGTCGTTAGTTATTAGATTTAGATCTAGATCTAGAATCTAGTAATTGTTTGAGGAGTATAGATCTAGACTAGATTAGATCTTGTGATTGTGCAATAAAAAGTGTGTGGGGAAAAAGATCAGATAATATTTGATTTCTGGTTCGACTTGAAATAGAATGTACCTCTAGATTAGATCTAGAATCTATATCTATAAATTCTATATCAACGTTAACAGCATAATATTTATAATAGGCTAATAATTTTACAACTAAATGATGTGTTTCAGTTCTGTATTGTTAATGTTATTCTAAGGGTTTGGGGGGGTCCAATTGAGTCATGACAGTACAAAATGGTACCTTCACCTGTTTCGAAAATAAATAAAATAAGGGGG